CAGATGAACTTTCATGTTATGGGTCAAAGTTGACGATAGTGGTCATTTCAAAGACAAATTCCTAATCGAAGCAGAAAGCCAAAAAATCTTGATTTTTCCCGGATACTGTTTGTGAGAAAAATTGTTGGATGTCGAGGGGAGACCAAACCATGACCCTGACAATGTCCTTGAACCCATATTTTCATGACCATTTCAAGGTCAAGTGGGGATTTTTAATAAAATTTTATGTTGGGTATAAAAGTAATTTCCTCTAAATCGACCTAGCGTGAGTTAAGCTGTTTGTTGGTTCGCACTTACCTAGACAACCAAGGGGCCTAACACAGAACTAGCTACTTACCTCGGTGAAGAGATGACCCACCAGTCACATAGTGCAAAACCCTGCCCCACAGCTACCTTGGTTCAGCGCTTAAGCCTTCCCACCATCTACAAGGTCCTACAACCCCTAGGGAAGGTATGTGACCCAGCCAGTGAAGGCAAGGTCGAGTAGTGACCCAGCCAGTGAAGGCAAGGTCGAGTGGTGACCCAGCCAGTGAAGGCAAGGTCGAGTGGTGATCCAGCCAGTGAAGGCAAGGTCTAGTGTTGACCCAGCCAGTGAAGGCAAGGTCGAGTGGTGACCCAACCAGTTAAGGCAAGATTGCATTGTTATCAGCTCTCTCCGCATGGAGGAGATACTCAAAGTGTGCACCATTATTTTCTAAGCATAACAGTAATCGACGGCGAAAGTTACGTTGTACATTTCCAAGCATTAAAGGAGTTATCGCTTCACAAGCTCTTCTTATTCTTTCCATCATATTCAATCTTGTCATTGGAGCTTCACTATACTCTGCATCTTTAACGTATCCCCATAAAAAGAAATCAAGGGGGTTCAAATCCGGTGATCTCGGAGGCCACAGAACTGGTCCATCCCGCCCTATCCACCGATTTGTGAATCTTTGATTCAAAAACATCCGTATAATACGAGCATAATGAGCAGGAGCACCAACTTGTTGATACCATAAATTTAGTCTAACTGCAAGGGGAACATTCTCTAGGTATGTTGGCAAATCATTTTCGAGGAATTCCAAATACATTGGACTATTAATTGTACGTTCAAAAAAATGAGGTCCCATGACTTCGCCATTGCAAATGCCTACCCATACGTGTAAACTCCAACGATGTTGATTAAGCACCTCACGATATCAATGTGGATTTTCTGGTGACCAATAATGGCAATTATGCCTATTGAGACTACCATTGCTGATGAATGTTGCTTCATCACTGAAACAAACATTACTGAAAAAATCTGGAGTCTGATCTAACATCTCAAGAGCCTATCTATAAAATTGTACTCTGAGTACGTAGTCGGTCTCACTTAATTCCTGTACCAGAGTAATATGATACGGATGGTAATTGACTGATCGTAACAATCTGTGTACCGTAGTTTGAGGGATTCTCAGTTCTCGTTCTACTTGACGGGTACTAATATGAGGATTTTGATGAACCATAGCCAAAACCGCGAGCAATCTAGGATCATTATTATTATGAAGTCCATTCCTTCGCCTTTCGCGATAAAGTGGATTATTACGAGATCTCTCCTTTCAATGTTTATAATTTGTTGAGCAGTAGGATGGCGGCGATTTGGGAATCGCTCCGCATAAGTACGGGCAGTAAGTCTGTAATTTCTACCACATTCACCAAAGGTTATAAGAATATCGACTACTTCTGTTGGCATATAATTTGCCATTTTACTGACCAGAATTTTATCAGATTACAAATGTTAAAAAAAATACATAAACACTTGTGACTTTGGTACAAAATGGACAAAATTTTGGAGGGATATTTAGAGGAACTCCATCAGATGGAAAGCTTAATTTTCGATTTTGAAGGTATGCTAATATCTAAAGAGTCACAACAAGAAGATACATATGTAGCATAAAATTTTATTAAAAATCCCCACTTGACCTTGAAATGGTCATGAAAATATGGGTTCAAGGACATTGTCAGGGTCATAGTTTGGTCTCCCCTCGACATCCAACAATTTTTCTTACAAACACTATCCGGGAAAAATCAAAATTTTTTGGCTTTCTGCTTCGATTAGGAATTTGTCTTTGAAATGACCTCTATGGTCAACTTTGACCCATAACATGAAAGTTCATCTGGACGTAAAATTTTGCGCTCTTTCAAAATCCGGGATCAAAAATATTGGTTTCTATTTGAAAATTGAAAGTAGACCTTCAAATAACCTTGAAAATGAAGGTCAAGGTCATTGTCAAGGTCATAGTTCAATCAGCCCCTTCATATCCAACAATTTTTGTTTTAAACATTTTTTTATTTAATCGCGATGTTTCGAGTTATTTGGCTAAGTAAAAATGGGTCACCCTGTATATAAATGTTTGTGATATAAATATTTAAATAAAAGGGCTGAACAATAATTATATAAAAATATATATATATACAATATATAAACATAATATGTAATTTTGAATTATTTTACACTTTTCGTAATTTTTTTCTAGTCTCCTTTATTTTCCAAAATTTTCCTCGTTTTTCCAAAAAGCGACAATTATATATTAATAATTAGAAAGAGAAAAAATTCTTGTGCGATTTTATAGAATCGATTCTTTTCCAAGTTGATTAATCGATTCTAAAAACAATCCAAAAAAGAAAAGGGAATTGATTTTTAAAACCAATTTTTTCAAATTTTCCCATCACTACCGGCAAGCAGCTGACTGACTTCCTTGGGGTGCGTTCCGTTTCTCGCATGATACGCATAATGCATCGTCTATCCTTGTTGCTCACCAAATGTTAAACAAGGACAATGGATGCATCATGCACATCATGCGCGATACGGAACGCACCTTTGGTTATGGGTGTGATCTGCAATGAGTGCAGATCACACAGCGCCTCAGTGATGCGTGAATGCACTCATTGTACCCATAACCAAGAAAGTCAGTCTGTCAGTCAGCTACTTTGCCGCATGTAACACATGTGGTGTTGTTGTGTGCGGACTTGCATACGTGTTTTAAAGTTTCATATGATTTTCAATCGCCGAATAATCAATTGTATGCGATTGTTAGTGATTAACTGATAAACCGCTTAATAAATTTCTCGTGTTGTCAAGTGAGTGTAATCGAATTGTGCCAATATGTTGAAATGTGATATAATTTATAAAAGAAGAATCTCATCGTGGAAACGTATGACTAGATATATATAGCTATGTACTTAAAAGACATTTAATATTTGAGAGATGGAAGTGAATTACAGTAAACAGTTGTGTCAAGCATTATTACGGTGCATCCAAATTTATTCCTCCAACTGTTTCAAGAAGCTAGAGCAAAATGGAATCATTGAACATCTACAAGGTAATAACAATTTTATAATTATGATAATAAGCTTTTTTGTGTATTTGGCTTACGTTTTTGCTTGAAACATTCATAACTCTTTGCTAAAAAGCACGCGTTTCTCACAAGACTTCCTATAAATAATAAATGCTATAAGCGCGATAGCGCAGATAAAATTGTTAGAGTAATTTTTGTAAAATTGGGAAATTAGACAATAATTGCGTGCCACAAGTATTATAATACCTATTGATATACAATTAAGTCTAAAAGTATTTCAGTAAATCAAATTGTAAGAAACGCTCTTTAAATGCTACGTACTGAAATGATTGTATGATTTGTATGTCAATAATAGTTTTATAATGCTTATCGCACGTAATTATTGTCTAATTTCGCTCTTTTACGACGTTTTTCTAATAATTTTATCCATGTAATTAAAATACAATCCGATATTCAAACGTTTTAATATTTATTTTAATTTCATCATTCTGTTACGTCCAAACCCTTCAGTGTTGGTAACCATACGATAATTATCGTACATGTACATTTTACTTATACGTACGATGTACGATAACACTTCATTATCGTATGTCTAAAATACGATAATTTTATATTTCTGACTCATTACTCTTCTCTCTTAATTTTATATACATATTACCAACAGAGTAGGCATTGAAGAAGACGATGAATTAAATGACCTGATATTTATTAAAAATCATAGAAATTAAGTATGAATTTTAAATATTATTTGTTCTTTGAAGTCTGTTCGTTTATAATTTGCGAGTTATATAGTGTTTAGCCTTATCAAAAATTTATCGTTCTAGTTACGTGGCTTAATCTGTGAAGTGAAATGACTATAATTGATGCTACTACGATAAATACGAAAAAATATACATATGTAATACATACATAAAAAATTGTGGTATTGACAATACAAGTGAACTTACTGTCTACTGTCAACATATGTAAAAAGCCACATTTGTACCGTTTCTTTCTTTTAAAATTGTTTTAAATATACTGAAATAATTACTTTCCAATTTGTATTTTTAACCCGAATATTATAGAAATACAATTTATTCTATAGAATGTTTAAGCTCTTGGAATAAAAAAAAATATAGGTTATTGTTTCAATGATCGTGTATTAAGGGGCTTCTAAAGTGCTAAATGTGTAATTTCAGCGAAATCGGTTGAGAATTGATCGAGAAGTTTCTGATCTATTTTGGAAGCTGATTTCAGCCTAAATAACTTCAACGTTAAGTAATAAATAAAATTGTTATTTCTGACCGTCTCTTAATTACGGAATAAAATTTTACATATTTCGTATTTAAATTATGTTCGCGCGCGCGATGTATGTATGTACGATAATTCTGGGTTAGGTACGATAATTTTACGGCCCTAGTACGATCGGCCACTGTTTCTAGGTTACCAACACTGAAACCCTTGGAGATTTTCAAATTTATTTATCTTATTGGAGCGAAAGGAGCGGAAAGGGTGAGGGTGGTTGGAAGAACGGTCAGACTCTCGTCTCGCAGATATCCGCACGGAGGCGAGTACCGCTAGTCGAACGTACCCCTTTGTGCTCGCTTCGGAATATGGGTCAACATCCCGCATGGGCGCTTTAACGCATGTTTCCAACGAGCGATCGTCGGCCTAAATTTCGAGTCAAGGAATCTAATCCTTTTAACTCTGGACTGGACCACATGCGATCTCTGAAAAGGTAAGGCTTATGAACTACGAGGTCTCAGGGTTTTACGAATAGAGAATGAGAGAGAGAGAGATGTAAACTTTTTAACATTATTTATTAAAACTAATCATTACTTATCGTAAACAGGTTACAAATAAAAAAATAATGAAAAAGATTACACATAGATAAAATTATAATTATAAATTAGAATTATTAGGTGTATAACTTTGCTTCCCCCGTTTTTTCCGAAATTCGAGGCTTTATTATAAAAAACTGGTTATACATTTATGATTCAAAGTATTGTTCATCGCTGGCCACTACTTTCTCCCATCCTTCGGGCAGCGTACGAATCCCGCGTCGAAAAAACTGATCATCCTTTGAGGAGATCCACGAATCGATACAATTTTTTACTTTTTCATAAGACCGGAAGTGCTGGTCAGCCAGGCCGTGTGCCATTGATCGAAACAAGCGATAGTCAGAAGGAGCAACATCTGGAGAATACGGCGGGTGGGGTAGGACTTCCCATTTCAACGTTTCCAAGTATATCTTGACCACTTTCGCAACATGGGGTCGAACATTGTCATGCTCCAAAATCACTTTATCGTGTCTCTCGTATTGCGGCCGTTTGTCTTTCAATGCTCGGCTCGAACGCATCAATTGCGTTCGATACCGATCGCTTGTGATTGTTTCAGTCGGTTTTAACAGTTCATAATACACTACGCCGAGCTGGTCCCACCAATTACAGAGCATGATCTTGAAGCCGTGAATATTCGGTTTGGCCGTCGACGTGGAAGCATGACCGGGAACTCCCAATAATTTTCTGCGCTAGGAGTTATCGTAATGAATCCATTTTTCGTCCCCAGTCACAATACGATGCAGAAATCCCTTCCGTCTTTGCCTTTCAAGCAGTTGTTCACAAGCAAACAAACGCCATTCAACATCTCTCGGCTTCAACTCGTACGGCACCCAATTTCCTTGCTTCTGAATCATTCCCATGGTTTTGAGGCGTTTTGAAATGGCTTGTTAAGTCACTCCTAATGATCGTGCCAATTCTTCTTGATTTTGACACGAGTCTTGATCAAGTGATCAATGCCTTCAATTCTGCATCTTCGAAAACCTTCTCTCTTCTACCGCTATGCCGGTCTTCGACGTCAAAATCACCGTTCTTGAAGCGTTGAAACCACTCCCAACACTTTCTTTGACTAATAGCGGCCTCACCATAAGTATTTGAGAGCAATCAATGAGCCGCGGTGATCCCGATTGATCACGGCTCGATTGGACACCACTAATCACAGCGACCAGTGCTTAGGAGCTTTGTAGTCTCAAGCGTTGTGAGTGGCTCGTGTCCAATTGAGCCGTGATCAATCGGTATCACCGCGATTCAACTGAGTGCCACCCGATGAGCCTCAACCGCAGATTTCTTCATACTGAAGCAGAAAATTAAAACCTCCCGCAAATAACGAGAATTTGGATCGTAAACTGACATTTTCAATCAAGAATAACTGTATGATGCAGACACAAATCGAGTAATGTTTCTATGGGGTTATGTTGACAGATGCCCAAGTTTATTGTATGACGTCTATGATCTATTTATTTCGACCACCATTTACCGCTAAAGTCATCTATAGGAAAATGGCGGAAGCAAAGTTGTATACATAATATTATAAAGATTATTATTACAACTAAGATTATTACTATGAATTAATCCGTTAATAAATCAAACTAATCAAGACTCCTTACAAATCAAAGAATTGGAAAGAGTAAGGGCACTAGGAGTCGGGCGCAGAAGACGTCGCGCAAATAATACACTTATAAAGAGTGAAACTTCTTTATTCACGAAACGCGCTTACATGGTTCGACTCATTTTTGAGCCTTCCACAGAGCAAACACACATTAACATATATAAAGTAAAAATTATCCTATCATGGTGAGCTCCCCTACATCGAGAATTTAATTGTCAGAATTAAATAAAAAGAAAGAAAAAAAATTGAAAAAGAAGGAAAATATTAAAAGTGTCAAATTAAAGAATATAGAAACTAATTTATCGAAAAACTAACCGAAAATAGGGACGCTCACCACGATTACAAAGTACCGTATCGCAAACAATATTA